TGACTTTCCTGCAGCCCTCCCAGCCGCTCGCTCTGCTCTGCCGGGGGAGGGGGGAAATCCCGGACATTTTGAGTGATTTACAAATTCCCCCCGGACACTATTTTTAGCACAAAAAGGAGGACATGTCCGGGTAAATCCGGACGAATGGTAACCCTAATTACCATGGCATCACAGTCAGTCACTAATGAGTTCAGCATCACCACACCTTTGTGAGGTAGGAAAGCTCTGTCCCCGGGGACCGAGGCACCAGCAGAGGAGGGGCTAGGCCTGCAAAGGGACTTCGGTGCCTAACTACCCCTTTAGGTACTTTCCAACATGTAGATGTCAAGGCCCTGCCCCTTCTCCACCTCTTTCCCTTGAGGCCCCGCCCCTTTTCTGTCTCTTTCCCCCCAAGGCCCTGCCCCTGCTCTGCCTCTTTCCCTCGAGGCCCTGCCCCTGCTCCACCTCTCCCCCCAGATAAAAAAAACAATGGATGTCCAGGCTTGTCAAATGGCACCTGGTCACACAAGCTGAATTCCAGCCTGTCTGGGTGAACACCAGCTGGGTGGCAACCCAAGACGTCACTGAGCTCCTCAAACCCCGGCTCCCCTGGCCACACCTCCATTTCTGCCGGTACATCCCGTAGGTGCCTATGTTCCCGCCAGGCAGCAGGCACAAAATCCTGACCCCACTGAGCTGCTCGGCACCCTCGCTCACACCTAAACCCTAGCAGGATCCTCAAACTAGGCGTCATCCCGCCCATCTTGCCCGCAGGCCCTGTCCAATAGGTGCGCTCAGAGCACGCCTACTGGATCGATTCCCCTCCCTCAAAAGACAACGGGGAGCAGGCAGGTTCGGAAGAGAGAAAAAGTGTGTCTGTCCCACAGCCCATGGTTAGAGCGCTGTCCTGGAGCGTGGGAGACCTGCTTTCACACACCCCTGCCTGATTTGGAACAGGGCCTTGAGCCCAGGTCTGCCAGGGGAGTGCCCTACCCACTGGGCTATACAGTCCATCTCTTGCTCCATGAATATTGCATTACTGACCCAGTGGAACGGCTCCAGCAGGAGAGATGGAGCGAGACCTGCCCAGCATACCCCCTAATCAGGTGTCAGGGGTCTCCCCTGGGAGGGGGAGAGCTGAGATCAAGGCTGTGCTGCACAGCAGGGCTTTGAAGGCAGGTCTCCCATGTGCCAGGTGAGCGCCCCGGGCTTTTGGCAGGAGAAGGAGCTGACCTGGCCTCTAACTCCAGGAGTGGATTCCAGGCTGGGAATCCTAAGCAGAGATGGCCCTCACTACCTAAGAGGGGTGGGGCTCGGGCTGCACCTCTCTCCTGAGCATTTCCTACTGGCTGGCGTAGGTGGCTCCTTGCTCAGCGTCTGTCCTCTGTGAATGCCCTTCTGAGCTGCCGAATTCCCCATACAATGCACGGGGAGCCTGGGTGCCTGGCTCGGGGCTGGGGGTGCTGCGGGGTAGCTGGGTGCCTAGGAGCTAGGCTCTCCTTTGTGGATCTGGCCAGAAGTGACTTGCCCCCGGGTGTCTGTGGCCAGGCTGAGACCCGATGCATACAGCCATCTTGCCACACCTAGATGAGCGCCTGCTGGTTTAAACAAAGGCAGAGAGAGGAGGGTGGAGGCCTTACCGTCAAATTCGGCCTGCCCAACTCCCACGATGATGATGGACATTGGCAGCTTGGCAGCCTGTGGCAGAGGAACAAAAGTGGGGGAGGGGGAGAGGGAAGTTGCGGGACAAGGGAATCGGAAGGGGGGAGAAGGAAAGAAAGAACAAGAGTTTATGGCACAAAGCGAAAACCACTGTCACCCGCAATGGCCTGGGCGACTCTGAGCTCTGAGCCCTTCTGGAGCTGTGTCCCGTCACAGCCCAAACAGCTCTCCACCCCGCCTCCACAGAGGCCTGGGGATACCCCAATCTGTGTTCCTTTCCATGCATACATGAGCTTCCTCGAGCTCTGTCCACATCTCCACACTCGCAGCCCCAGCGCGTTAGGGAGGCCTCTGGACATCACAGCCATAGCAAGAGCCAGCAGTGCTAATGCTATTGAGTCAGCCAGGGGAAACCAGGCTGCCGGGGCGCTGGGATGCTGTGCGCATCACTGGATAGCGCAGGGCCTTGAAGGGGCTTTTCAGATTAAAAAGTAACCACCCCCCAGCTGTCACGGTCCCGCGTGCTTGTGTTTGCCCTGGGAAATGAATAGCCATGGACCGTTGGCTGCAGTGTCACACATCTGCCCCAACGAAGGCTGGAGGCAGGGTGACTAATTCCAGACAGTTTTATAGCTAGAGGCCGGATGCTGAGCTGTGAAGAGGCAAAACTCCTCTGGAGTTAACAGTGATGCTGATTTACCCCGCGTGAATGAGAAGGGAATTGGGATCAGTGGGGTTACTCCTGATTTACACCCGCATGAATGAGGGGAAATCATGATCAATGGGGTTACTCCTGATTTACACCGGCGCTCCTGATTTATACCTGTGTGAATGAGAGGGGAGTCGGGATCAGTGGGGTAACTCCTGATTTGCAATGATGTGACTGAGGAGACTCAGAGCTAGTGGAGTTGCTGCTCCTGATTTACACTGGTTTGAAGGAAAGCAGACCAGGCGCGCTCTCCCTCTCTTTTTCATCCTTGCTCAACAGTCTCACTAGGTGTCACTGTGGCTCCATTAGCTCCACTCCTTGCTTCTAGGCCAGAAATGCACCGATTCCATTCGCACATCAGGACTGGACGCTGAGCCCTGGTCTACACAACAGAGGTCACATTGACCTAACCCTGTCAGCGTCTACACTAAAGTATCGCTCGCCCGCTACGCCGACTGATGAACTCCAGCTCCGCGAGAGCGTGTGTAGACGCTGCATTGCTCACATTGCCCGCTGCTGGCTGACAGGTCAACCGGTGCGAGCGCTCCTGGTGAGGACATGCACCGCTGACACAAGGAGCATAGGGCAGACATGCAAAAGCGATTTAATGACTGCAGTGGCTGTACCTCGATGTAACATAGGGTGACTGTAGTGTAGACTTGCCCTGAGGCGCTCATGAGCTGGGACTAGGCTCAAGTGGTGCTGTGCTGATACAATGCTCTAATTTGGTTTGCCCCGGTTGAGATTTGCACTGTCCTGGCCATTATCTTTTTTAACTCGAGGCCAGTTGCCATGAAAAGCAATTTCCTAACACTTCTATCTTGCAGGGCAGTTAAAGAGCCTTGAATTTATTTCAGGCAACCTCAATGCAGCATCGTAACAAAACTGTCTCATCCCACCAGGTCCTGTCCTGGCTGCATGACACAGTCCTTGTCCTTGGCCAAAATTTCCCTTCCTCCCTACTGTGGTGCAGCGTGTTAGTTGGTGCTCATCCTCCACCCCAGAGAAAGCTGCATTTCAGGGGTGCTGCATGTATATAGCTTGTTAGGTGCTCTGATATCATGTTGGATGAAAGATGTTACATGCATGTAACATTCAAGGCTAAATCCACATGCATTTACCAAGAGTGGAACTGAATTTGGTCACATTGTTGTTATACAGGGCTTCTAAGTTCAGAACTGGGAAATCCAGGCCCAGATTCTGAGCTCCAGTGGAGCTATGCTGATTTACACCCACTGAGGATCTAGTCCTCCCCCTCTCTCCATGCTGGGCCCAGTTAACTCATTTCCTTCCACAATAATGAGCAAGTTTAGTAACGGGCAATTCATTTTACTTACAAGAATTTGCCCATCACGATTAGCTCCCAAAGTGACTGCAGCTACCACAGGACAGGGCAACACAGATAGCTTCTCCTCTTCTGTTTTCCCTTTATTAGGTCAAGCTCCTCTCATTTGCATATTAACAAGCTTTCTCCTGCTCACTCCCTGAATCCAGGAGAGCTGCGCTGTCTCCTTGCTAATGAGTTGGCTGTCATGTAATTGGTTATGACAGCAGAAAATCGTATTGACACCATGTGATTTCCATGCTGTCTCTCCAATTCCTTCAGGACCCCCATTTTTTACCTACCTCACTCGCTGCTTTATCATCCAATTATCCCCTCCTTTTTCTTCCCTTCCAGCAATCACAGATTGTGTTTGCTATTAAACACAAGAGCTTTAACAATCAGAGCTCTTTGTCTGAGCTGATTTCTGGTCACACACTGGGACTGAGACTTTATAAGAGCTAACAGCAATTTGCAACATTGAGCACCTCCGAGGATCTCAAAGTGCATTACAAAGCTGGGTCAAGGAGACCGTGGGTAAGGGAGAACTGGTTGACACAACTTATTCAGACTTTCTAAAAGCCTTTGACAGGGCATCAAGAGGCTGGTCAGGAAGTGAAGCTGGCATGGGGTGAGAGGCAAAGTACTGTCACAGATCAGAATCTGGCTAAGAGATAGAAAACTGATCTTCTTCCCAGGATTAAGAACAGAACCCCGGAGTCCTAGCTCCCCAGCTTCTGGTCTAAACATTGGTCCACACTCCCCTCTGAATCAGGGAACAGACATGAATAGCCCTGACCCTCATTCCCTCTAGACCAGCCATTAGCACACAGGCCCAGAGACCCCTCGATTTCAGTGGGAACTAGGAACCTAAATTCCTTTGAGGAGCTGGGCCTCCATCCCTTCCAGAGCTGGGACTAGACCCCAGGAACCCCGATCTGAGCTCTAAATACAAGCCACTCAGGCTGACTACAGCAGCTTCACAAATCTGGTAACTTCCCCACTAGCCAATCAGCATGGCAGATTGCCTTGCATTCTGCTAGCTCACGCTGCCATTCCAAGTATGTGTAAGAATGCTGGAGATGAAGATGTGGGAGATGGGAGGTCAAATGCTAACCCTCATTTGCGCACGGCACATAATCACCAGGCAGCTAGGCATTTAACCTGAGTGACGGGCTCTCCCCAGTAACGGGCCTAGTGCTGGGAGAGGGGCGTTAATATTGGCAGAGCAGGGTGGGGCTCAGGGCTGGAATAGCAGAGGGGGCTGCATGGCAGGATTGAGGTCCACTGGCAGCGCTGCAGACCGGGAGCCCAGGATATGATAGCAAGGGTGGGGGCTGTGCATGGGCAGAGCTCATTGTGGCAGCATCTGCTTGCAATACCCATGTCTCTGGGACTCTCCGGTTCTCCTTTTCACAAGCACTCAAATGCCAATCAACGGCAGACAGAAATGTAGCTCAGCTGCCTGGCTTCTAGTGAATCTAATAATGGAGCGTGGCCGGCCTGACATTGTCTCTGGCTCTGACAGCTCAACTAGAGGCTCAAAGAGGCATTCTAAAATGATCCATTAGCCAGCGGTGAGGTGGGATCACATTAGTGGGTATGGGAGATCCACTGACTGCTAACCCAGAGTTAATCAAATGATCATTACATTTGTAGTGATCTGTGCATGGGCAAAAGCCTCTCAGATTGAATTATTTTAGGCAAAGGTATTGTGAGGCCAGATCTTATCTTCTTCCTATTATCTGGCTCCAATAATTCCGATGAATTCTAGACATGAAAAAACATTTGTTCAATGTCATCATCAAACTCCACCCTCCTAATCAGAAAAGTCTGGCCCAGAACAGCTACTTTACTTCATGGTCAACTAATCCTGAACTGTATGGGAGTTTTGAATCTACTGCTACTAATCCCTAGCACTTTTTATCAGTGGATCTCAAAGCGTTTGACACAGGAGAGCAATATCATTATCCCCATTGTACAGCTGGGGCAACTGAGACCCAGGGCGGTGATATGATTTACCAGCAAGCCAGAGGCAGGGCTGAGAATGGAACCAGGTCGCCTGAGTCCCAGTCCAGCTCTAGCCACTCAACACTGTCTCCCTTTCCTGACAGTGGGGCCCTTCCCAAAGCTCTGGTGCGCTGCTTTAAGCTGCTTGTCCGAAATGCAGTCAGGCCAGGAGATGATAAGACTTTGCAAACAGGAACACCTCTGAATCGTAATACGAACAGGAGCCTGACACTCGGCTCACTTACCCCAGTTTCATGCCACTGTAACGCCACCAGAGCCACTCCAGATTTACCCGTATGTGAGGGAGAACATTCGACCTGCGATGGCACATCAGCCCACTGGTCCAAGCAGACCAGAACTGTCCTGTCTTTGACAGGGCCAGCACAAGCTGCTTCAGGGGAAGGTGCACGGAACCCCCTAGTGGACACTTGTGGAATAACCTTCCCATGGGGGAAATTGCTGCCTCACCCCCAGGAGCTAATGCCTAGAAGCACAAGCGTTTATATCCCTTAATTTTGTGCCCCGGGTACTGTGACTGTGGCTGTTCCCATTCTCCATGTAAATGTCCAACCACTTGCTGAATCCTGCTAAGCTCACATCCTGCAAGCCTAGGCCCCAGGATCTGAAACATGCAGTAATAATTGTGAATTCACGTCAGTCCCGCCACGCAGCCAAGGCTTCTCAGCTTCGTGTCTCTGTGTCACCTGCTCTCGGGCCGTCAGTTGGGACAGGCCAAAGACAGTGGGAGAGCCTTGGAGATGGTGTGTACCGGAAGGTGGTGGGGTGCTGTACATGGGAATGAGCCAAAGGGGTTCACTGCCCACTGGGAGTGGATCATATTTCTCACGCCAGCCTCTCAAGACCTGTCCCCGTTACTGGCAGTGAGGTACCAGGCCAGCAAATGTGAGCTGAAAGTTTGCTGGAGCTGGGAGGAGTGGGGGAGGTAGAGAGAGAACCCAAACTGGTGTCAAATTTCAACAGCCAGGGACTCTGCTA